ATTTCACCCCTAATATGACATTTTCCTTCATTTTTAATCCAATTTTCAAATATATTTATATATTTTTTTTCCAATAAAATAAAACCCATTTTATTTTATTTTCCTTGTTCTTTTTGTTTTCTAATTTATTTATTTACCTCATTTTGGGGTGTCACACTAGTCATCACTTGATTTTTTTTTTTTTAAATTTGTCTCCACCAGAACCTCGACACGAAAATACCAGGCCCGATGTACCTCCAACGCAATTTAAACATATTTGGGTAAGAAAAGTTGATAATTGACAAGTCAAACCAATCTCATACGAGATCGAACTCATGACTTGTGTTATATTTGGACATATTAAAAAATAAGACAATATAATCTCAAACAATACAAACGAAAGCATGTATAGATACAAGATTTTGTATAAACATAAATATAAATATAAGTTTTAAAAAAAATTAATAATTAAGCAACACCAACAAAACACTGTTTTGATTGATTTCTCCTGTACACTTTTCATATCTTAAAAATAATTCTATTTGCGAAAATCGGTTGAATGGGTATATAAGATCACATTGAATCCTTTTAGGTTTGCATTTGAATCTTTACAGTTATTTAAAAAGTAAAAAAGTCATGCTAATATGTTTGAACAAATATTAATAACTTCACCATTGAATATGCTCTCATAATATTTCTCAATTTAATAAAACTAGTACAAATATATAATTAATGTCATTATAACTGATAAGATTTCTAGAAGGCTCGTTTAAAGTCATTTAATTCAAATACAATTTTTTATATAGAAAAAGAAGAATTAATAATAATTATAAGAGTAGGCCTCTAATTAAGACACGAAAAAGTTTTAGTTATAGTCTATATATATATATATATATATATATATATAGGTGTATAGGGGATATATGATTCACTTACAAAATCATACATGATTCATACATACACATGCACACACATATATTTATATATATATATATATATATATATTCACGTTCAAAATCATACATATTCAAAAGTCGTACACTTCCATTTTTTTGGCGTTATTGTAAAATCATATGTGATTTTGTACATTAACAATCTTTTTCTTGTTTTCTTAAATAGTTAGCTTTTTCGTTTGAACATTCTTCTCTCTCTCTCTTTTTTTATATATATATATAGGGTTGGGTTCACGTGAGACCAAAGTTTTTTCGTGAGACCTGTAAGACCAATTTATGTTCATTGATCAACTTTATAAGCTAATAATCTAATAGTCTAAAGTTGCACGGTGACAATTTTGTGATTGTTGAGAAGTCTCGTGGTGTTTATGAATGTTCAAATTGTCAGATTGTAGATCTAATCCAATGATTGAGAATTGGTCTTACGGTCTCACGAAAAATATTTGGTCTCATATGATCCCAAATCTATAACTATATATAGGAGTTGGTTTAAATACTAACCAAGATTATCGTGTTAACTTTGTTAACCGATCTTGGTCGTTGATTTGAACATCTAACGGTTATGGTTTAATGAGAATAAAATTTTAATTATTTAATTAATATATTAATTAATAATATTTGAACAATGGATTCACAGGGTAAAAATGTAAAAAGGCGTTGTTCACATGAATCACAGAGCCTGATCACATGTTCATGTGAAAGCGTTGTGCATATGTATCGATATGAACAACGACATGACATACTACTAAAAAATCATGTTCGTATTCATGTGATGTAGTTGTGCATATGTATCGATATCCACATATTCTGCCTTTGCTATGTGTTCATATGTTGTGTGCGTCCTTATGTCTTAGTATCTCTTGATATGTGATGTAATTGTTCATGTGTGTCAATATGAAAATCTAATGCATTTCATACAGCTGAACACTAATGAAGCATAACATCTATATCTATTTGATTTGTGCAGTTTCATATGTGTTAATGTGTGTCCATATCTCTTATAATCTGTTCATATCTGTTTCTTTATCAACTAAATTAATCCCTAAACATATGCATTACCAGAATGTGCATCAAAATTTTCAACGAATTCAACTATATTTGCAAGAATATTTAATGGTTCATAATGGTAATAGTTGTTCATTTAAACAAAATAAATGTCATACTAATCACTTACCAATCGGAACGCTTTGATCATCTTCTTCATCATCGGAATTCGAATTCCGACCGTAGTCGTATCCGATTTTAACTTTGTCATTTCCATTGTTATCAATATGATTTACAATAGTATTATCCATATTACTCGGACGATACGAAAATCTTTTACACTTACAAAACGAATATCATTATATAACATCACTTGAAATCACGATCATGAACACAAATGAAGATAAAAATCAGAATTACCTAATGATCAATTAGAGGGATCTTTAAGATTTGTAACTCCCAATTAATTATTAGGGAGTTACATAAAGGTCAAATTACAWAATCACCYTTGTATTTAATTTATAAGTTACATTTGAACATAAAGTAAAGAAAGAACATGATTGGTTAGTCTTGGTTAGTATAGTTAACACAAATTTCTTGGTTAGTATTTGAACCAACCTCTCTCTCTCTCTCTCTGTATATATATATATATATATATATATATATATATATATATATGTTTGTGGTTGTTGAATTGTGTTGAAGTGAAACAGGAAAACCTATAAGAAATTCCAATAAAAGAATATTTGTCATGGATGCCCTTCTATATTGTTTGTTTAAATTGATCAGTACAACTGATTTTGTATGATACACGTATGTATAACATTGTTAGTACGGACGTACATACAAGTATGAAGCAAACATTAAAGTTGTGGCACGAATAGGGGTTGATAGATCAAAAAGTTTCCAACTTAAAGACGAGTTGGAATCAATAAGAGAACCCAATTTTAGAGAACTAACATAGCTCAAACCGGGATACAAGATGACACAGAATGGAAGCAATAACGCAAGCACATAGTGTTTACACACACTATACGAGAAAACATTCAAAATTACAAAATTCTTCAATTTATTGATCGATCTATTTTGGCTAGTGGAAAAAAAATTCCAGAACTCAAAACAAAAAATTACACATAATTGATTATTGCGTAAATGAAGACATAAACATGTTGCTCTAACGGGATCTGATTATTTTAACCAGAATAAATAATCACAGATTATCATGAAAAAGTCTTAAAAAATCGGATTTTGGGCTCGAGGTGAAGTTGGGCCAAACCGCCATATATTGTTTTGTTATGACATATGGGCCAAAACTAATTTTTTGTTCATATTCTAAGGCCCATAATTCCCAAGAGATGATAAGCTATTACTATTTAGTGATGGCTAAACCAGCCCGGTCTGAGACTGGTAAGGACCGGTTATATGATCGAAATCTGGGACCGATTATGAATTTGGGATGTTTCGCGGGACCGGGGCCTGGCCCGAAGGAAAAAACAAGACAAAATATCACTGATTACATCCATGGAACTTTAGCTCTTCAGATGAGGAGGTGCACAACGTTCCAGAATGAGTAGGAGGCATTGGGTTCGAATTCGGGTACTACCCATATGCCATGAGACACAATTTAATGGTCGTGGGACCAGTAACGTGGAGGTGACCAAAAGGTGATATTATATCATTTTTCAAAATCATTAATTGCAATGCTATGCAAATTAAGAAATACGATAAAATGATTACATCGGAAGGTAAAACTTAAATTTATATCTGAATACTAGAAAACAAACCTTAACGGAAGTTCTGTTACGACCTTTTCGACTAAAAGAATTCGGGAAAAATTCATGCTTCAAGATATGAAAACAGGTTCAGGAAGTGCATTATAATCAGATAAAAACATCTAAAGTTTCGTTTTACAAGAAACAAACTCGTAATAAAAGTTTAATACAGTCAACGAGACGGACCCCACTTAGTAAAACCATCAGAGTTTTCAACAACCATGAAACAACAAAACATGATAACAAATTTAACCAAATACACACAAGACATAATGATACAAAAGAAACAAAAATTTACATAGAAATTGAGGCAAGAGACATGATGGGTTCACATCATCAAATCAAGAAAATATCTAAAGATATCAAACATAGATATGATTTGGTTGGTCTCAACTCATTTTAACTACAGTCATGGGTTTACTTGATCTAACCATGGTTGCCTTTGCTTTATATTCATTTGTTTTTCATGATGATGATGATGATGATGATGATGATGTTGATGATGTTGATAGCCGAACCGAACAAGCAACAACTTGCGCCCATTGTCTCAATCTTGTCTTCACCGTATGTGGATTATCCCCTTCATCCATGAACACCAGTCACATGTACAACGATTTAGAATTCGAAAGATGAAATTATTGTAAAAATCACAAAAACTCGACAAATTTTAACTTGAATGTATGAAAATTTGAAGCAGTCATGGTGTAGAAAGCAATTCTGGTGTACTCATGAACTTTGTGGATCGTAATTTGAATTCAGTTAATTTCGTGTATTTTGATTCATGTTCGGATAAGGTCAGTTTGAATACGAATGAATTCGATCCAGTTTGAAATTTTGGTCTATGAAAATATGAAATTAGTAATTTCAGATTCAAAATCTCGTAGATCGAGATCCAGAATATGATCGAAAATCGATTACAGTTTAGAAGGAAAACTTACCGCGGTTGATTATGGTGTGAGGACTGCCCCATGGAGAAGATAAATCAGGCTCCGAGACGGCAGATGAGTATGAAATGGATGAAGAAGACGATGACGACATGGATGAAGACTTGGAGATCGTATCGTGATATTGCTTGTTGACGGCGTAATAGAATCCTAACGCCGGTAAAGTAGTTGAAAGGCGATCATCCAATTCAGGAGAACGATCGAATCCAAAGCCTAGTTCGATACAAGCTTTGAGTTCATTGATATCTTCATCGGTGACGCTTTTGCTCTTCCGACGGCGACGGTGGAGGTGTTTCCCCTTCCGCCTCATCCATTCCTCGTCTCGGTGTAGGTCCGGCGACCATGACTTCTGTTTGTAGAGTGGGGAGGAGAAGGGCGGCATAGACGGCGATGGAGCGGCGGCGTGAGGCGGAGGCATGCCCAACCCCGTCAGGGCGGGAGACCTGCCGGGTACGGGTTGGAGAGCCCAATTGGGTCCTGGAATCGGAGCTGCTTAGTTGGACAAAGAAATGACTTATAAAGGAATGAAGGACGTTGGCATGGCCCACCCAATTGATTGGTCGACCCGAATTAAATACTTGTATTTTTATTAATATTAACTTTTATTAAAATTACATTTACATAAAAATACATTAATAATATATTTATTTTATTGCCACTACACTAAAAAAGTTTGTGGTTATACGGTTGCTATCACAAATTTAATAAATAATAATACAAAATAAATTGATATTTAAAAGGAAAATGGGCCAATAAATGGATATCCGAAATTAAAGGTACAAAAGTCCATACCCGGATATTCCGGGAATATGGAGAATGCTTTTCTTTCGACCAACCCGATATTTAATTCAATGGCTTTTTTCGTCAATTTGCAGATAAATAAATAACCATTGATTTATTTTATTAATAAAAAAGATTATTATTTATTTTAAACCATCGAGGTTATCTTATTTCTATTATCGTTATTGTTGGCTTTACTAGTTTTGGTTACAATTATATATGGATGGAATCAAGGATATTTTTGTCTATTTATCCATTTTTTTATTAACCTGAATATTCAATTCGCTATGTGAGCCAACTAATCCTATGATGATCACCTGCTTTGCGGGTAGTTCGGAGTCACCGCATTTGAACCTCTGTGGCTACAAGAGAACTTTTATTCTTCGTTGGATATGAACCTGCGACCTTCATATACTTTTAACTTTTGGAGCTCAAACGCATCCCTCTATTGAAAGGCTTTTTGTTGTTTTTATTTAAATTTGGATGTTTACTTGAGAATCATATTGTTGAAATGGATGGAAATTGGAATGCATGGACGACGGCATTTGAGTATCGTTTGTGGTTGAGGAGGTCTGGACGATAGTATAACGTGTTGGAGCACAATGGTGTATAATCTTCAAACTCGTTGCCATCTTCGATCACAAGACAGTATGTCGTAGGGTTTTTAAAAGGATACGACGTCAAAAGCCGTGTCAACTAGTGTGTATATACATATATACACACACACACACAAATCCAAGTCCCCTCCCTCACCATCAACAGATCCTTATCATCGCCCCCATCTCCGTCTCCCCCATGTTCTAAGATTGCAACTTTTTACACATAAACAGTAATGAAACAAAATAATCACTTTTTTTACAAAATAAAGGAACAAAATCCCTAAAAAAACAGGATGCAAACCACCTTAGAAAACAAGAACAACCCCCTCGACTTATTCACCCATCCCTACTGAGGATCTCGAGAGCAAGATACTAGTTGTTCCCTACGAATTGAGTTAGATCGTAAATTTGTTGGCATAACCACAAGCAGTAGCAATGACCTCTACTTCTTGCTTTATGTACAGATAAAATCATAATATTGAAGCATAAGATTTTTTTTTTTGATTAACTTGGATATCCAATTCGCTATGCAAGCCGACTAATCTCAGGGCGACCACCTGCTTTGCAGATAGCCCGGAATCACCGCATTTGAATCTCCGTGACCACAAGAGGATTTTTATTCCTTTTTGGATTTGAACCTGGGACTTCCAGATACTTTTGACCTTTGGAATCAAGCTTAAACCAACCAGACACCACCCTTGTTATCAAAAATGGGAGTCGTAGATGAGAAACAAATGTAACATAAATGAAAATGGGGACCAAATTGAATTCCAAGAAAAACATGGACTAAATTGATAATTGAAGTTATATTGAATATAATAAGTCAATTGTAGATGATCCACCCATGAGGGAAGAAAGTGGTGAAGTATGGAGTAGCAATTAAGGTCATGGGCCCTTTTCTTCCGCGTGCCATTCCATTGCTTCTCAACTTTCAAAACCATTTAATGTTTACTATTATTATTATTACTAGAATGATACTCGTACAATGTAGTAAGATATATATATCGATTTTAATGAGATGTTTATCTGCAGTTAGTTCCACAAATTCGAACATGACGTTTTAATAAGTTGCACTTACGCATAATCTACTTGTAATCTTAAATTTTAAGTAATATGCATCAATAAACAATACTTCATACATAAAAAATTATTTTTAAGAATTTTTTGTCAAATGTTTTATAATATAGTATAGATTATTATTATTTAGAAAAAAAATTGATTATTAGTAACTTTAACCGATCATATTCAAAAGTTTATCTTTGAAGACACTAATATAAGGGGATATTTTTTGGCTCGCTTACTCACTTAGTAGCTAAGGCTGGTGGAGGGTCTGAGATCGAACCCAATACATGTCTTGTATTTGAACAAAGTCACGTCATTATTAAGTATGTTATATTTTCTTTTAAATAACTTAAATGTTTTTATACCAAATGTTAATTAGTTATTATTATTAAATAAAAAATTTATTTGATTAAGAATTGTTTCACAAAAGAGAAGGGTGTACATCCGGCGGGTTGGTTGGGTCCGGGTGGGAAAATAAAAAACCCAATCGGATTTCGGATGTGAAAATCAATAAAAAAAATGGATTTCGGATTGCATCTGGTTCTGGTTGAGGTCAGTCAGGTTCGGGTTTAGTCATAATGCAAAAACTATATATTTCCAATTGATTTTGACAATGGATTCAATCTATTTACAAGATTGATAAATCGATAGTATGTTTAGAAATTAGAAAAAAAAAACACGACTAACTAAGATTTTCAGAATTTTCAAAAGATAATTAGATAAACAAGTATATTTATATAGTATTTAAAATATATATGTATATATATTTTGGGTTTTCGGACGGATCGGGTGATCAAAAATCAAACCCAACCTGAAACCAAATTTTTCTCAAAAAGTCGGTTTTCGGATTTTCAGGGCATTCAAGTTTTACATAAATATCTTATTTTTGGTTTAGATTTGGGTTTAGGTTCGAATTTCAGATAATTCGGGTTTTGCAAACCCCTAACTAAAGATGCATAAATTGATTGAGATCAGAAATCAATATGAAGTATTGATTCATGATAATTCAGTTTCAATCTTATTATTTTGTATTAACGCCCCGTTAAATATGTGATCAATTTAGACCTTGTTTTAAAACAGTTAAACCCATTTCGTTCCTTATGGTTATATGAAAATTTGGATTTGGTCCCTCAAACGAAATAATTACAAGTATAGTCATTGTAGTTTCAATTTTACAAATATCTTTCCTTACCCTTGAAGAAGAACGAACCCACGGGCGTATTCACAACACAAGAACCACCACCATCCGGTCATCTTCTCATCGATGTATTCACCGTGCCATTCACCCCTACACTGACCTTCATCTCCGGCAGGTTCTCGGGCCTCCATCGTCGCTCCTATGCCTGTCTCATCCTCATAAACTCCTTCTCCTTCTCCCTTATACTTCATTTCACTTCCTACTGCTGCCATCACCATTCACCACCGTCTCAAACCTCTCATGCACTCTACACTAACTGTTGTACCCAACGCCATCGAGGACAAGAAACGATGTATGAAGATCGAGGATCGTTGATCGATCTCGACATATTTTTATGATCTCGATCTGGACATCTTCGTTTAAAAACATGGGATTTTCTAATGCAAAAGTTATTTTGTTAATTTAATAGTTTTTAAATAAACATAAAGATTTTTATTTAATATGTAGTTTAATTCAAGAAATTTAATTTGTGATTAAATATGTAAAACAGTTTTGATAAATGTTTTTTTTAAAAAGACGTGGATTCGTGAAACACCATAAATTTAGATATAATTACAGTTTTGGTCCTTGTAGTTCATGTAAAGACTGATTAGTCTTTTATAATGATTGCTAATTAACGAAGTTAAGTCAAGGGACCTTGAGTGTTATGAAATTGAAAGTTCTGGGACCATTAGTATAGATAGCTTGTTTTAAAGAGCAAATCCAAAATTTAAGCAAACTTGAGGGACCACCAATGTATTATTATTTCACAAATTGAAAAGAAACGAACATGACAGTGAAATGTGACGTGCAATATTAAAGTGTAACATACAAGTTAAAATCACCTTTATTATTTCAAGTAAAAATTGCAATTATTATTAACATATTATATTTTTAGAGATTTGTTTTAAGTATATTACTAAATATTGTAATTAATTAATTTTTTAAGATGCCTTTTTTTGGCTATTTTACATGTTTATAAATTAGTTTTTATCAAACATGATTTATTTATCAGCCAACTTATCAACAACTTTGCCAAACATAGCCTGATTTTTATAAATAATCAATTAACAATAATATAGTTATTTGGATGAAGGTTGTTCACGTAGGATTTCAGGCCACTTTGTCTCAAATAAGGCCCAAACAAATAATGGACTAGCAGGCAGCCACGGCCCATCACTGATGGGCCTATTTTCGGGTTCGACTTCGACCCCATTCTAGCTTTTGTTTTCATCAGCAATGAGTCTTAAACTGGCCCATTGGGCTCATTTTTCATCAATTTTTGAGGTTTTTGTTCCAATAAACTGATTAGTAGAAATACTATAAATATATACCAACAATTACCAAGCTCTTGTGTTTTTATAAAATGGTAGTTTTTTTCGTTTAAACCTACAAACACGTATGACACCGATGTATAAACGAATGATCGTGTGAGAATGAAAGTTATGATGATAAGCGTAAAAAGAAATATGAACTATTGATTACTTTTAATCTTCTGCTCATCCATCAATTGCGATTTATAAAGGAATTGATCTGGTATATCTTGGTGCACCTCATTAGTGTTGACATTCAATTAGGATTGATCCAAATGTGGAGATCTTTTCTTACAACTTTTACTATAACTTCACTTCTCATCGGAATTCAACCCTATATATGTATATATGTGGGTATAATCAAATGAGATCCCCATACATTGTATTGAAAACCATGAGAACTTTTATCTTTAAGATATTGTTTCACAAGATTTATTTCATCTAGCACTAGAATTTTAGATATAAAATAACATATATTTGTTTCACAATGTGTTTATTTGTATGTGTATTTTTTATTTTACAAACACATAAAAAAGTTCATATTGTGT